GATAGAAGTACAAATCGACTTATTGAATATGTACCGTGCATTTTTTTGTCTGAAGGTTTCTGTGAAGCGTTGCCTGTTTCCACGCCCTCCTATTACGCAATGAAAGCCGGCTAGCATCGCTGAATTCATAAAATATTAATAATAGTTATATTCTAAAGCAGGTCGTGTTTTATTTCAGTTAGAATTTATAAGTGGTTTTAATCAATTTGAAACTGAAACAATACAATCCATTTCCCTTTCGCTAGTCCGTTGTAATAGATTTAGAAACCCATGTCCCCGCCCAGTACGCCGTTCGTGTGCCGCATTCTGTCGTAATTGAAGAACTAACAATAGATAGGCTTAAATCAATAAAATACTTTTTATCACAAATAGCAAATTTATCTAAAGATTGTTTCAATATGAACTGTGAGCATAGAATGTTATAAAAATGTTTAAAGCGTTTATCTACTTCTATATACAGCTCAATCTTCAATGTGTGTATTCTCTGTATTCCAAACACTAGACACGCGAAAATATTTGCTTTTTGTCACCAGAGACCAGTCTTGAACATATACCAGCAAGTGTTTAACTGATTTCGATTGATAACACATAAGATTTCGTCTTTCGGTGCACCCTGGTTTTTGTGTGGAGGATATTAGCTGGTTTTAATAGGAGGGCTTTATCCCTCTACACACAGTCTTTCTGTTGCAATATGGCTCCCCGGGCTATTACTGGGTGATTGATGGAGAGGAAGGCTCTACTCGGAATCCACGGCCCTGATATAGAGCTGTCAAATGTCGGGTATCCCCCTCACGATATTGGAATCACCTTCCATATCATTTGTTTACTTCAGAACTCACTGCCATCGAAAGTACAGGCCCGAAATTGATTATGGTAAATCTACAAGATTTTGGCAAATAAAAAATGTAAAAATAGTTTAAAATACCTATTTGTTGAACTGTTTTCCATTTAGAACTGAATGGTTTTCCCGTGTTTGTAGGAATTCCTATTAAAGGAGTAACGCCTTCATATCACGAAATGAAATTTCAGCTCTTAAAGGGGGGCTTAATTAGCAATGAACAGATTTTTACCAAAGCCTTGGTCTTGTGCTAAAGCAGGTGACATACCCTAAACCTATATGAAGCAAAGGTACACATAACTCTGGGGCTCAACCTTCGGAAAAGCTGAAATTAAGATTAATTGGGCCTGTAGGTATGAAATTTTGTACATGTATTATTTTTGGAAATACAAAGGGTTACTCCTTTAAGGCAGTTTGTCATAACTTTGAAAAACTTTGAAAAGAGAGTATACGAATAGCAAGATTTTACTTCCGGTTAAGCCGCTTCTACATTTAGAGCTAAAAATTGGAAAGACAAAGGCTGTATCAGAGAAAACAATGTGGACCAAAGTATTCCTTTCTATACACGGTTTAGGAAGTTCTATACCAAGAAATCTCTCTGTGTCGCTCTGGGACAATGTCTTCAAATATACATTTCTATTGTAAAAGATGAAATAGTCTTTGGACAGAATTTAACATTTGATTCAAAGGTCTAGGCGTCAGTCAGAGCAAGCCTTTAATCATGTTTTAAGGGTGATGTGTAATTCTGTAATAATTATCAGAGGACCGCGACAAGGGGAATTCGTTTGTTATGAATAATGAAACATTAGATTAAAAGGTATAAGTGCTTATTTTTGTGTGGACTCTCTTCTTCGCTAAAAATAGAGTATGGTTCGTTCTTCCAAAGTATCGCAAAGCTTTTTCAAACAACTCATAATACAGGCCGACCAACAGAACAAATAATCTATTGACGCTTTGCGATGCAGCTTTTCAAATCGAGCTTCAAGCTCATTTGTAAAGAACAGCTTTGAGGAGAAAAAGTGTGTTCAATAAAATTGAAGAACTTTTTTGAAACTAAAAGGGAATGGATTTAGGGCGTATTGCTTTTTGAAATTTGTTTCTTCTAACAAGCCTAAGATTAAAACTCGTCATTCAATTTCATACATTTTAATTTGTTGTTAAATTTGTATAACTATTTTCCCATGAATAACAGTATTTAATATTTGTAAACGATAAGATAGGCCTGCCCCAGTGTCGGGAAGTTCTAAATGTTCACAGAAAATGAAAATGCTCAAGCGATGAATCCTTCGTAATTCCGCCTTTCTGGAATGAATGATAATTGAAAAATGTTAAATTCGTCTCCGGATTTATAATTAATCTGACAGAGTTAGGTCAGACATTCAGAACTTCGTATCAGGGGTTTTTACTCCGGCCGGCAGATTATAGCCAAAATCCGGAGTCCGGAGATCAAAGTTCCCTGTTCTCTTATCTGGCGGACAAACCGTGAGAAAAAACTTCTTAATTGTTCGTAGATCCCATGAGCAGGTGCTTCTTCTATTGTGTCCAGCGACGTAACGTAAAGTTGTCATTTCTGAAATCAAGGCAAAAACTGAAGGTCCTTTCTAAGATATGCAAAAATTTAACAATCCTTGTTGATATTAGAACCATCCATACCAAATAAAATATTGATATAGTGGAATTATCCTTTTTAAAAAAAACTTGTTAGCTTGTTTATCAATATTTGGAAAGGAAAATCTGTTTTGCATTTGAACTAATTAATTTGCAATAATGCATACCTTTTATTCTTTGAATTACAACAATTAAGTTTTCATTTTTAAAATTCAACATATACACTCATCAGTGGCCGTGTTAGTTCGTCATCTTTATTGAAAACCAAAGACAAAACCTCATTTTCCCTAGAGCAATAAGCAGCAAAGAACTTGATGGTACAATATTGGAATATGTTTTATTCCAAAACAATACCTTCCGGTGCTCTCCGTAATTGGAGGTACAAAAGGTCCATCGCGTTCATCGGTAATTTATTACTCGAAAGCTGGAATCACTTGATGGTTCTGTAAAGTGCGTTTATTGTTGAATTATCGAATTTTGTTTTATTCGCTTGTCATATCCACATCTCTTTGTGTTTTTATTGACAAACTTATGGTAAAACGATATGTCTTTTAAATTGTATTTTAAACCTAAATAAGATATCAGCAAGACTATTGCAAATAGGAAACTGCTTTTTAAAAGCGTTTAAAATTTTTTCTTGATTTTTATACTAAAAAACTTCGCAACATTTCTTTTAAAAACAAATGAAGGAGATATGTATGTCTATGAATGAGTTTTTCTGATTTTTTTTTCAAATCTAAATGTTTGTTAAAAATATAGAATCTAAATGTACAAAAGGGCATGATAGGGCAACGTTGGGTACCCGACAGAGGTATATGTAATTAAATCTTGTGCTTACTTGATCTTTTTTAATTCTCAGAACATATACATGTTTTGAAATGCATGGGACTGTTAAATCGGAGACTATTTTTTAAGCTGGATCCAATATCCTAGGGTCTGGTGTTGGTGCGTTTTGTCTTATCGTTCTGAATAACAAAGGCAATTCTGCACGAGCCCTTGTAAAATTTATTGCAAGTCTTTCATACTGCAATAAAATGATTTGACGGTCCCACCATAAAATTGTCAGGCAATAAAAAATTCTAGAAGTTTCTTATAAGTATCGGAAAACTCTGCAGACCTCCTAATACCCCTTGATTTTTCATTTTGAACAATTCATTCTTAGCTGAGATTTCAAACCCAGCAGATAAACTGGTATTTTTAACCTTGTTAATATATTTCCTCTTTTATGAATGAAAATCGTTAAAGACACAATAAATACCACATCCAGAAATGAAATATTTTGACTAAAGCTGCAAGTTTAGAATACGATAGGGCCACAATAATAAGTTAGGAAATGGTTGTATATACAAATACCCAGTCATAACAGCCCCGGGGACAGTTAAAACCTAACTAAAAAGAGACCTTTACACTTAAATCCAGGTGTAAGAAGATAGGGCAAATTAATAACAACATTTGTGTTAAAAAGCGAATCTGTAAGCCTATCTCGTATACCACTAAGGTTAAAGGGGAAAAATAAATCGCCAGACGTGTAAAAATATTTATATAGGTGACAAATCGGTTCCTCTTCGTCACTTAAAAAGAAAAATTAGGATATTCCGTAATCATTATAAAGCATAATGTGAAAAGCATTAGGAATCTGCATTAGGGGCCTGGGTGTTTGGGTCCGCGTACGGTTGGCGGAGGATACCTATCTTTATTATTTCCCGCTAGTTTGGTCTAACAAATTGATGAAGTTTTGGGGCTCTAGGAAAACTTTGGCAGGCCGAGGGATTAATCACTCAGCCTATCTCTTTCTATTAAACTAATGGAGTGACAGAGGCCTTTTATCTGCTTGGAGACACAGGGCGGCCGTATCTATACCCGTATACCCGTAACACCGTGCGCCATGCAAAACTCACATGAATTTATCTAATTTAACTAGAAAAGTCAAATTAGATTACGTAAATACCAGAATTCATATGCTTATTTCAACATGCCAACATAAAACAGTTATATATAGTTCATTCATATATATTTTCATAATTTAGTTACGTGTACGTTACCTGAAGGAAATGTGGATTAGATTTATAATAACCTTACAAGATATAAACGGAAATATAAAAACCTTTGAGTCACATACACCAGGAAATCTTAAATAAAAGTTTCCTTTATTTTTATCAATATTCAACCCGTCCTCTTCAACCAAAACATTTTTTTTCTCAAACAATAATTTCCTTCTCATAACTTGTTCATATTTTATCATTTTATGCAGGTAGCGAAGGATGTTTTATTTCTTTATTTTTTTTTTCTTGCAATATATTTTTTTATTTATTTATCTATTTGCTATAATAGTTGAATAAAATTTATTCTTTGACTAAAAGCATATTTTCAAATTTTACGAATATAAGCAATAATTTTATATTTAATTAAATTGTTAGATTTTGAAAATCTACCTAGTTGAAGATAATTTTAAATAAATTAATAAATAAATAAATATTCTAGTGGCATGCAAAGACATTAATAAAATTTTAAGAATCAAAGACAAATAAAGTTTTTTTTATAATTATATATATTCTGATTTTTGTTCCAGTCTACAGAAATATAACAAAAATGACTTAGAATAAGAAGAAAAAAATAAATATCATTTCTTGAGCTGTAAAAAGTTTTGAGTCTAGTCAGAATCTACAATCGTTCCCTTCCGTGGAAAAATTGTCACACTCGGGCATAAAACATTATAAATATTCCATTCATCTCTTATATTGGCCAGTCTCAGGAATAAAGATTGTCATTTGTGGCTCCTTTTAGAATATTTTGATATAAAAAATAAATCATTATTCTTATTTTCGCCTAAAAGTAGAACTATTATATAAAGGTATATATACAAATAAAATTGTCTAATTTCTTCTGAACACATAAGAGATTGTCACGAAGTGAAGCGTTCCGGGTACAATCTTTATCTGTAGAATGCTTTTTTAATTGGAATACAGCAATTTGATCCTCGGGCCGCGGGGAATCACAAATCTACAAGTATCCTATTCTCACGTACATGGCTCTTTTGAAATTAAGACACGAAAAACTTACTTTGTTAAACACATTCACACAATATTGAAAAAATCACAACGCACTATTATTTTATAACCACAGCTCTCTGAGACAATGTATATCTTTGGTATCAGCTTTATAAATAAAGTCGGGTCCACTGGAAACACTTCACAGACTAGCCGTTGAGTGTGGCGCGTATGTCTTGTAATACCCGTTGTCCGATATAGGCATCGGGGACGAAGATTCAGTCTTTGCCATCGGAGGCAGGGCCATAGGATTGTTATAGCCCGCGTACATGTTGGGCATTTCGTACATATTTTTCATGTCCATTTTAGCATTGTCTGTGATTAAACTTGTTATAGAGAACGGGTGGTGAAATGAGTGGGGGTTGTACTGTCCATTGTTGTAAGCCTGGGAGAGGGGGTCGTGTTGTGGGTGGTGCCTCATAGACGGCGGCATCTCCTGATGCTGGGACGGAGGGGTGGTGGTGTTGTGCGCAGTGATGGGAATATCCGGCTTCCGGTCCGGCTGTTCCTGAGGAATTTTCTCGGGGGTGTGAGGTGGAGGGGACACACTCTGGTCACTGTGCGGGGAGTGAGGATTTTCTATCACTGATCCGTCCTCACTCTTTGACAAAGTCTGTCGGATCATTTCTTTCTTTAGACATTTGAATCGTTTTTGTCGTCTAAGGTAACATCCGTTTTCAAACATGTTTCCAGAGTCGGGGTGAAGGGTCCAGTAGCTGCCCTTTCCGGGACGGTCTGGAGTCCTCGGAACTTTGACAAAACAGTCATTGAATGATAAACTATGACGAATAGAGTTCTGCCATCTTTGCTGATTTTGTCGGTAAAATGGGAACAAGTCCATGATGAATTGGTAGATTTCGCTGAGGGTACACATTTTGTTTGGTGATTGTTGAATGGCCATTGTGATGAGGGAGATGTACGAGTACGGCGGTTTGGCGTGGGTGTAACTCCTCCTGTACGACTTATCCCGGGCCCGGTTGATGGCCTGGGCTCGGTTATAACTGTCCATCCGCATAGAGTTGATGGGGGCACCCATCCCGTTCATCGGCATCCCACCCATGGAGCTCATCCCATTCATGGGAGACATAGAGTTCATGGAATTCATACTTGCGTGCATGCTGCCAGGATGCATTCCCATCCCGGGGGTCATTCCAATATTGGTCATTCCTGGAGGGGTCATGGTGCCGGCCATTCCTCCCATGTTGGGGGGAGAGTAGTTATTTGTCATGGCCATGGACTGCATACTCATACTCATGCTTCCGATGGAGTTCATGCTGGGGATAGAAGTCATGGGGTATCCCGAGGTACATGTGGTATCGTACGCGCCCTTGGAGGTGAGCATGGACAGGTAATCCCCGGACTGCGGGCATTCCGTCCCAAGAGAGGGTTGTTTTTCATACATGATCCAACCGAAAATTTGTTTTCACTTTTGGGTGTAAATACACCAAGGGTTGTTAAACAGTGATCCAATTCGAGGTATAACACTTCTGAAGTCTAAATGAAAATTATCGACAAACTATCTTGACCCAGGGTAAATATACCTGGAACATTGGAGTAGTAGGATAACGCCCCCTTTATGCAAATTAAACTATGTCCTGTATAGCGATTGTGACGGTGCTCGCCAGGCCCCGCCTCCTATCGACCGGAAATGAAAGGTCTACCCTTTCTTATTGAGCGCCAGTGTCGATCACGTTCCAGTACAAACAAACCCCTTCTATTTAGACCTAAAGCAAATACCATTACCGCGAAATGGAGCTTGGTTTTCTCATTCAAAAACTTTGAAAATAAACAAAATTCTACTACAGGTCCTACTACTATATTGTCAACCTTCGTAATAACGATATTCCGGATACTTTTAGTTTCGGACACATCTTAATTTCAAATGTTGCAAAATATCTTTTATGTTTAATGACACTATTTATGAACGTAAATTTTATCCTAATGGTTTAAAAAAAAATTAAAGTCGAATTCTTAAAAAGGGAACCGTGAGATTTTTATCTGAAGAACCTTGCACTTTACCTCGGGTGAAAGGGACAGGGTTGGAGTTTTATATTACATCGGTGACGTTCTACTAATTCAAAGGACTCATTTTGTAAATCCGGGATGAAAAAATAAATCTTATTTCTGTGTAAATTTTAATTAAATTATTTATCCGTGTATACATGTGTTGTTGGTTCATTCATTTTCACGGATGCGCGGTCTGGCAAATAATGTGTTTCTTCCAGACAAAAAGATAAATATTTAACAACAAATGCCCATATCAAGTATCAATTTGTTATATTTATTTATCGAGTGTGTATCTAAAATTAATAAAGTGTGAATGAATATGTGCAGAGTTATCGTTTTATGCCAATATTTGAGTTTATTTTTACAGTTGAGTTATCTGTGACAAAATTTGTTTTTACTATCTCAAAATATTTACCCCGCTTAATATTTACTCTCCGATATTAGCGTGTTAAATAACTATCCTCTAGATAACGGCATAAATGGTCGTTCTTGTTTGGTAAATATTCTGTGTTTGTCTAGCATTAAAAAAGACTCTCCATCTTAGCCTAGCAGATCTGTTTTTGCACAATTTTGAACGGCAATACCGACGTACAGATCTTTGTACTGAATTTAAATGGCGAGGAAAAGTGTCTGATTAGTGATAAGATTTAATCTAGGGTACAATACGGAACCGTCAAAGGAGCTTAATTGTTCCCGGGTTTTTACTGATTTATTTGGATGATATTCCTAATAATTAAAGAACGATTAACAAGTGGTTCAGGGACTCAACATTAAAGAAAAATATCTAGCCTGACGTTCTCTCCTTTAAATTAATGTTGCTAATAATAATAAGTAAAATTGATTTATTTTGCTGATTTTTTATAGCATGTATATATTTTTTAGGGATGTCAAAATTGTAAATTATTCATATTCGATAGGATTACTAATTGAATTAATTTTTTTATGTAATTGTTTTTTTAAAATATACATTATATGCATTTGATTTTTCATTTTTTTTTTACCAATCATTTTTCCCTAAAATATCCATTTTTGGACGGAATATTTTTTTTTTTTGCAAATATTTTACGTGGAAACATTTTTTATGTACCGAAGATCACTTTTAAACCAATTATAATATTTTATCTTCCAGTCAATGCGAGGGTTCGTTGTATACTCTCATTTTACAGGTGTTATTGACAAAATGCAGCATTACTAATTCTAGTACATCGAACAGTTTAAATTTCTCTGTTATTCGCCAGATCAGAATTCTCAGAAAGGATTTTTTTAAATCATGATAGTCTCAGTGTAACAGATATTTATATATTCCTACTGATCGTATCAAATTACCGGGACCTTTAATTAGCATACTCATATTAACATTATAAACATGACAAAAGTCTATTCAATGAGAATTATCAGCAGATTGTAGAATCTACATTTAACCATAAAACTATAGGAACTGTAATAACCGTAGACGGTTTGGGAATATTCTGAATTTATTACGGAATAATATCCGACTTTGGTCCCGCTCACGGGCCGAGTTGGAGCGATTGGCGGGACTGCGTCTGTGATAGGCGATCTGTCTTATCATTTTATCTTGTCATTTTTTGTAGAGCGCATTGGAAAATCGATGCAAATCGCTCACCTTCGTTCGTAATTAGTTTTCGATGTCGTACAGGTGTGGTCCCTTACATGGTCTTGTCATTGCTATTTTGATTAAATTAAAAGAAATCAAATTCAATTCGGGCAACGTCAAAGTCTTGTCGTTTTTCTTCTTTTCTTTTTGGAACCCATTTATCGCTCTTAAGCAGAAAACCGTACCTGTCAAAAAATATCTGAAAAAGCGAACGAACCGGTGATTTTGTCCTCTTAATAACGTTAAATAGCCCGCTGCTTTGTTAAACGCCAAAATGTAATCATTATTTTGATAAACCATGAAAAGCCTTTTATTCCTATTAATAGTCTCTTTTTCGGTCATGGAGAAGGACATTCATATGTTTAAAGAGATGTATTTTTAATTGAAAGATAAAGTAGTTATTTTTGTGACCATTATATATACAACCAGCTGGGGTAAAGGGCGACCTGCTGAGATGAGCGAAACGGTCAAAGTAGGAAGTCTTTACTCACCAACACGATGGCATCTCGTACCTAGCAGAATCTGACTACGCAAAATTTTACATTTCGACCATCAAAACAAGGAATGCATAAACGATGATATGAATGCTTTTTGCAAAAATATTGGGGAATTGCTTTATTAAGAAAAATATTGTAACAAAATATCCGTAAAAGCAACTTTGCATATCCAAAAAGAAGAACAGGCTTTAATAAAATAATATTGCATCTGATTCCAGGTATAATTTCAACCTGCAGAAGGACCGATAATTCAGCTTATGAAATAGTAAAAATAATGGAACATTGAATTTAATTACTTCAATTAATTTAACCCATATTTTATTTGAAAAGAGCAAGCATAAAATACAAGAAAGCCGTACATGTAAGTAAATCATAGGAGATTCCACGTTCCACTTCTAATCGGTAGATTCGCCCATTTCTGTCTGCTAATTATGACCAAAACACGTCTCTTAGACTCTATTAACATATCTTAAGATTAAAATGCAAAATGTCTTAAAGAAATCATTTCTCTGTTTTTTCAAGTTGTTGTTTGAAAAGTTGTATAAACATGGTTGAAGTTATTCTATTGAGATATAAACGTTATGAGTTAAACATTTCACGCTTTCGCCACCTCCTGATTCGGTTTGTCTCTTGTGTTAAGTAATGTAAAGGGATTAATCTTGTTGATAGAAATGAAATAAAAAGAATTAAACCTCTGTGTTTTTCCAATCATTATCAACATATATTTGGTAGACCTCTAAAGAATAACTCGTCACACGAACCAACCCCCAAAAGTGGACACCACTCTTTTGATTACGGTGTTTTTTTAATGCTTTACTTCCACGTATCGGAGATAAATATCGCTTTTACCCGGAAAACTTTTACCTGACTTAATTAATTATCATTGCAAGGTTTCGACTCGAGCTTTTTATATTTTTTTTATAAACACCTTCGTCATAATTTCATCTCTTGGGCCCACATATTGTACAATTAACGGTTATGTGACCAATAAGTCGACAGAAAATGAAAAACGAAATTTTAAAGGGAAATTTCCCAAGGGGTTTTGTGGGAACGATGGTTTAACTTTGTTATTCTTTAATTCTAGGATGTAATAATCATTACATTAAACACAAAGAAATCCAATCAACCCGGTAAAGCATTTAGACACGTTAGGTGACGTCTCCAGATAGAGTTTGTAAAGGCTGATAAAGAATAAACGTGATTCCTCCCGATTTGTGAAGTTAAATTGCGAATATAAATGGTCGCTTGACATGAAATGGAACTAGTAGGCTACTGCACATGCTTCAACTATTTTAAAGTGCTCAAGTAGATGCTCGGGAGGTCAACATTACCGCTACATCGCCAAAAATTTCAACTCATTACCGCTACATTTTTTTTTTCAAAATTTCGACTGATCATTACCGCTACATTTTTTCAGTGCAAAACAACTCATTACCGCTACATATGGAATCAGCCAGGTATGCAGGTACGGAGTATAAGTTCCAATATATAGCAGTCTCAAATAAAACGTTATGTTGCTCCCATGTAAGCATAAACTGCTTCAAATATTTAAATATAATACTTGTAGTCCATAATTTGTTGTATCTCATTCTTCATATTTTGGAGTCGCATGTGAATGTGGAATTTTGTATTTCAGGGGATACAGGTCTTTTGCATGTATATGTTGTACTTATATTAATCTGTTCACGCACAAGTGGCTGGCTAACGAAATATGCAATGTAGCGGTAATGTTTTTTGTAGAGGTAATGACTATGTAGCGGTAATGAAAATTTTGAAAATGTAGCGGTAATGATACGCACCCAGATGCTCTCCCCACATCGACATCGCGAGTATATACATTTCTCTACCTCAGACGAAAGAAACACAGACTTGTATATGGAGAGGAAAATGCCTAAGGTTTACATTTGATTATTAAAAATAACAGGAGTTTAATAAAGACGTAAACTTTCCCTACAAATATTTTATATTGATTGGAGAAAATAAAAATCATTGACACCTGTTAAAACAAATATTTGAGTTTACAGTATAAGTAAATTTAATACATGCACACATTGTCTGTATCGATCATTAAACGAGTTTCACATTTTCGAGAAATTTTGAGGCTCGGGAATTTCGAATCTTAGGTACAGGGACATTTTGATCGTACATCCTTGGTCCTGCAGGTGTCTCTTTTCCGGTTAACTTAATCACCATGGTAACGCCGATCTGTGATAAGGAACGACAGGGACGAAGATCAATCCTTTTCTCGGCGACTCTTAGACATTTTTTCGTATTCATCAACCAGGTGTATAATGTAGAGAATGTTTTGTGGTCAGATTAACGATTTCAAAAAGTCAGTTTGTCCTTCTGCCATTCATAAATCGTACTCTTCATCAGAGAAGGGGTTATCCAAG